AGCATCATTTGGTTGAGCAAGCTTGTCAGCAAGCCATCGCGCAACAGCAACATTTAAAAACAGTATTGTCAGCAATGACTGAGGTGAATGTCCATCTAAGTGCACAGGCATTAGATGAGATTTTCAAACCAGCCGCTTATTTGGGCAATATTCAGGCACAAATTGATGCCGTACTACAAGCAGCACAAGGAGTGTCTAAATGATGAAAATCAGTATGAAAATTAATAATCGTCAAGGACAGCAACTTGCGGTTCAAATCCAAGGCGTAAAAGATGCACCAGTGATTATATTTTCTAACTCACTTGGAACGGATCATGGTATGTGGCAAGCGCAAGTAGATGCTTTGGCGCAACACTATCAGATCATCACTTATGATACCCGTGGGCATGGTGCGAGTGATGTGATTGCCAACAGTACACTGCAAAACTTTGCAGACGATGTGATTGATATCTTAGATACATGGCATATTGAAAAAGCACATTTTTGTGGAATTTCAATGGGTGGTATTACTGCACTCACATTGGCAATTGAATACCCTGAGCGTTTTTATAGCATCACCGTTGCAAACTCAGCCGCCAAAATTGGTACAGCTGAAGCATGGACTACCCGTGCCGATAGCGTTGAGCAACACGGACTGGCTGAAATTGTCAAAACCACACATACACGTTGGTTTAGTGAGCATTTTGATTATGCACATGATGTGCTTGCTCAAAAAACCATTCAAAGTTTAGCTGTGACGCCTGCACAAGGCTATGCCAATGCGTGTCGAGCATTGGCGGATGCCGATGTTCGAGATCAGCTCAATCAAATTCAAATCCCGACTTTAATTATCGCAGGTCAATATGACCCTGTAACGACGGTTCAGGATGCAGAATTTATGCATCAATCCATTCCAACCAGTCAACTTGAAATCTTGGCAGCTTCTCATTTGTCCAATATTGAACAACCACAAGTGTTCAATCAGGCATTGTCCAAGTTTATTCAGAACATATAACCGTCTAGGGTTAGAAAGGAATTCGCCTACAAGGAGGCAACTATGGCACAGGAATTTGCTGCCCCAAAAAATAGTATGGATGCTCAGGCACTCATTAATGATGCACCGATCAGCAAGTATCAATGGATGATTGCAATTATTTGTTTTCTCATTGTATTTGTTGATGGAATCGATACGGCTGCGATG